CGTCGTAGTGGGAGGGTTTCTCATTTACCCGACCAATGGATATGTCTTGGAAAGTCATCAGACTCAGTTCTAGAAGATTTAGAATCGGACCCAAGGACTTATGAGGAGGCACTCCAAGATAAGAATGCACATTCATGGAATATTACAATGATAGCTGAAATGGGGTCAATGGACTCCAATCAGGCCTGGGATCGTGTAGAACCACCCGATGGGGTACAACTCATTGGATGCAAGTGGGTCTATAAGAGAAAGAGAGGACCGGATGGAGAGGTTGAGACCTTCAAAGCTAGGCTTTTTGCGAATGGTTATACCCAAAAAGAGGGTATAGATTACGATGAGACATTTTCGCTAGTAGCTATGCTGAAGTCCATTCGGATTCTTTTGGTTGTTGCCGCTCGTATGGAGTATGAGGTCTGGCAGATGGATGTCAAGACAACTTTCCTTAACGGAAACCTTCAGGAGGACATATATATGCAACAACCAAACGGATTCATTACTAAGGGACATGAGCATCTAGTGTGTAATATTAATCGGTCTATTAACGGACTGAAACAAGCTTCGAGATCTTGGAATATCCAGTTTGATGAGGTGATCCAGTCATACGGGTTCGCTCAGTGTCCGGATGAACACTGTGTGTACAAGAAGATCAGTGGGAGCGTTGGTGGTGTTTCTTGTGCTTTACGTAGACAATATACTTCTTATTGGAAACAATAAGAATGAGTTGTCAAACGTAAAGGTGTGGTTGTCTAAGTAGTTTGATATGAAAGACTTAGGTGAAGCATGACACATTCTTGGTATTAGGGTCACCTGAGACCGTAAGAAGAGAATGTTGTGCTTATCCCAGTCTATATGCATAGATACTGTTTTGGCTAGATTTAACATGCAGGATTTAAAGAAAGGTATGTTACCTTTCAGACATGGAATAGGTCTATCGAAGGAGCTGTCTCCTAAGACGTCTCAAGAGATAGAACACATGAAGATATTTTCTTATGCATCAGCAGTAGGAAGTTTTATGTATGATATATTGTGTACGAGGCCGAATATTAGCTATGCCGTTGGCATGGTAGCTAGATATCAAAGTTATCCGGGATGGGAACATTGTTCTGCGATGAAAAATATACTCAAGTACCTGAAGAGGACTAAGGAGTACATGTTAGTTTACCGTCCAGACAACTTGTTATCTCTGGGTTACAGTGATTCTGATTTTCAGTCAGACATAGACGTGAGTAAGTCAACCTCAGGTTATGTGTTTACCTTGGGAGGTGGAGCCATTTCATGAAGGAGTGCTAAGCAGAAATGTGTGGCAGACTCCACCATGGAAGCCGAGTACATAGCAGACTTTGAGGCAACGAAAGAGGCAGTTTTACTCGAAAATTCTTAGTTGACTTAGTAGTGATTCCGAGTTTGCCATGTGGTATCACCGTATACTATGATAACAGTGGAGCAGTAGTAAACTCAATGGAACCATGAGCCCACAGAGCAAGAAAACACATAGAGTGCAAGTACCATCTGATACGTGATATCATGGGTAGAGGAGACGTCGATGGTTTCAAGATTGCATCAGAAGACAACATAGTTGATCCTTTCACGAAGAGTTTGCCGGGGAAGGTCTTCGACAAACACGTGGAAGGAATGAGAGTCAGGTGTATGGTGATAGGATCGACATAGGTCTTTTACAATAAGGGATTGATAGGACTATACTTGTAAAAACGAAAGCTTTAAGTATAAGTGTGAGATCGTTGGGGGTTATATAATGAAATCTTAACTTTAGATGATATTACACTTCTGTCCTTTGTGAATGAGAATCATGTTCGATTAAACAAGTTGTATGTTCTGTTGTTTGCATTTAGATAAAATGGTTAATTAACGGGTGAACAAAATATCATTTTATGAGTGACTTGCGAAACAAGATTTATTGGTTCACAACCTAGAAGGAAATGAACACCACCTCAGAACGTTGTAGTGTTAACAGTACAGTTGGTCTTGACTGATTAATTGCACTAGTACTATAATGTACTGAACAGGATCCCAGAGAGGAGAAGTTCGTTTTATACTGATCTTCATAAACGAACTAGGTCTCGATTAATTACTGCATTCTCTTAATTCGTAAAATATTAAACAGACATATATATGCAGTATTAATTGCTTTGATTCACTTGGGTGAGGTTCAGTTCGCTGGACTAATATTCTTACTGTCTTTGTTAATTTTGATGCATGTAGGATGTGCTGTTAGGATATTTATGGTCACCATGTGCGTTAGTTTGATGATGTCCCCGAAGTGAGTTCATGAAGGATTGTTATGCTAAACCCTGCAGGTGGATTAAGTTCCAGCACAATAATAATGCAATGAACGAGCGCTAGCTTTGGTAAGATAATATGTTAATTAATTCTTGATTATAAATAATCGAATTATTAATGGACATTGTATCTTAAACATGAGAAAATAGTTTGGGTAATTATTATTAAAGTTTCAAATGTAATTTGGGATAGGAAAATGAAGTGCAATAATATTACGTTAGTGGACCGTAATATTATTTAAGTAATTGGAAGAGTGGGCCAGACTCATAATTAGTCCTTTACTCAAGCCTTATTCCTGTTCTCCTAGGGATCCCTACTGTAGCTCTATATATACATCATTAGGCTCATGAAAATTAAAAGAAGAGATCAGAATTCTCCTATGTGCAATATATCTGCATCGCACGCGTCTCTCTCTCTCTCTCTCTCTCTCTCTCTCTCTCTCTCAGTTTTCTATTCGAGCTTTATCTTCTTCTTGTTGTTCCACAGATACAAGTTGAAGAGGTTATTGAGTAATACAGTAGAAGATCTCGAGGTAACCGAGACATATATTCATCAACCCCACAGATCAATCGGAGCCGATGAACCACGACCCGAAGGTAGACGTGACCAGGTGCCGGGCCAAGGTCCAGCCCGGCCCGACCCGCTAAGAACCAGGGACCGGTTCATAGAACCGGCCCGAACCGCCGGTTTACCGGCCGGTACGGCCCTTGAGAAAAACAAAGAATTTGGCTCGGCCCGGCGGGACAAAAATAAAAAAAATTGAACCGGGACCGAACCGCGACCTCACGGTTCCGATTCAACGAACCGCGCTTAGGAGTCTGGTTCCGGGCCAATTCGGGCCAGCCGGTGTCGGTTCGCGGGTCGGGCCACGGTCCGATTCGGCCCGTGGCCATGTCTACTCGAAGGCCGTGATTGTCGACCCCGACCAGCCGGACAACCGCGCGACGCAGCCAAGCCTGATGGTCGGCCCCGCGACGCCAACCGACGACTCCGACCAGCCCGTCCGACGAGCCTGACGCCGTGACCTGACCTCGTTCGTGTTCCTGGCTTCCGATGTGCTATTTTCCAGTCATCCTGAATATGTCTTCAGATAAATTTTAAGCCGTAAGTTTTCTACGTCAAACATTTAGATTCGTTGCACATAAGTTTACGTTTGCTACAACATGATGATGTTCTTCATTCAACTGACCCAATTTCGAGTAGTATGTGCTACACTGTATCATCCTAAGCTAACTCGGTTTAACCGGGCTACAAGTTGTGTCCGATCATCAGAGTTGCATCTGAGATATTCAAGCTTTGGTGACTGGTATGATATATTTGTTGGTGTATATTATCTAGCCCTTCCACATTGGTCGAGTCGAAGAGACTCGACCTAAGAGTAGGGCAAGATACCATTAGAATTTTACTTTTAAAAACTCGAAAGTCTCGCCCAAAACTATCAACTCGCCTGATAGTTTTGGGCGAGACTTTCGAGTCGGAGAGACTCGACCTAAAAGTACGGCAAGAAACCATTAGTTTTACTTTTTAAAACTCGAAAGTCTCGCCCAAAACTATCAACTCACCTGATATCCTCCATAAAGTTGCCACCCAACGCCTCGAATCTCGCCCCATCTAAAATCACGCACTCGATAATTGCACCATCAAATCTTGGTTGTTCATTCACAATCTCATCGGATGACCCAACAAATTACACCTCATCATCTTCCTTCATTTCCTATACTCCCTCGCACCTTTCCATATTTTTTTATTGCTTCCATTCTTGCATATGTGTATTTCTACAAAGCTGCAACCGCAATCTCTTCGCCATTGTTCCATCGTCGGTTACCTCCGCCCCACTGTCGATCGTCATATCATGTTTATGAGTAAGTGTTCCTGACCTATGCCAATGCTTTTAATACTTCAATATTTTCATGTTTTTTCTATTTTTGCATCTTCTCATAGCCTCCATATCCTCGACTTCTTCCATTTCAACAACTCCTTTTTTTAGATTGCTCTAGAGACAACAACTCCTTAGAAGCTCTTATTGACGACATTCCAATCCTATTTTTTCATGAGGACAAAGCACATGGAGCTGGATTGACACCTAATAAGAGAATATATAGCAAAAGGACTAATCCAACTCCCTTACATTTCAACAACATAGCAACTAGTCGATTTTTCTAACAAAACCACTATCAATACCACTCTTCAAGAACCTCATCTCCAAGTTGAGCATGCCTAATATACATCGCGGGAGGTAATAGAATAGTTATACATTTATATTAGCAACTTTACATGCAAAAAGTAACAACAAGTCATTAGTTTCTTAGCACCTTTAGTTTTACTGTGTCAGTATAAAAGACCCCATGTATCCCTAAAACACATTCTATTCTTTTGCCCTAATCTCACACATAAGCCTCATTTTTGTTTTCTCGATCTCTTTTTTACTTCTTGCTCAATTTGTGTTGTTGATGATGATATGATGTTTCCAATAAACATTGTTGCAAAGAAAGTGGAAGTCACAACCAAGTTAACAATCGTAGTGCAGTAGTGCAGGTAATAAAAAGTACATAGGTAAGAAAGCTTCAATCATTACTTTCTCAAACAAAGATCTAATAACGAAAAGAATAATAATCACATAAAATCAACAATAAAAATTGTTCCTTGGCTCTTTCCCAACTGTGGTTAGCTGATATATTTATTCATATATCAACCACATGAAACTAGTATCTAGCTCCTTGCACCTGGAAATCCCAGATAACAAACATAAAACTGCAATTAGAACTTTGTAAGTAATAAAATTTGAAATTAATGTGAGACAATTCACAAGTGATATTTCTAACAAGAAGAATTAAAGAGTAAAGCAACTCCAATTTTACTCACTTGGAACCCGACGAGCGACCTGCAGTAGTTGGTGTTGGTGGTAAGCACAGTGCTGGTGGAGCCGCAGTCACTGTCCTTGAGGGAGACGGCCGAGCGGTCGAGCTTCACGCACCACGGATACTGATAATTCTGCGCAGCCGACCCTACATGAGACGACGACCTCTGCATCCGGACGGCCCTCGGCACGTTCCTCCCCTCGATGGACGGCCGGCGCCGGCTGATCGGGTTGCGCTCGCACGCCTCAACCATCGCGGGCCTCTGTTTGGGTGCGCTGTGGGAACGGGCCTTGGCCCGAGACGACTCCGTGTTGGCCATGTAGCTCGGGTACTCCCCACACAGGGACTCCGCATACTCCGACCTTGGGTAAGGCGGGGCACGGGTTGGGTCGGGCCTTGGCTGGCTCTGGGCGAACGAAAAGTCCTCCAGGTAGTTGCTGCATGCCGATGGGGATGGCGAGACCTCATACTTGCTTGGCCACGGGTCCCCCTAAGTACTATGGTTCGAGTAGCTATTTCGGGCTTTGGCAGCGGGCCGGTTTTCGCCCAGATCCATCTCCACAATCTTGATGTTCTCCTCTGCTCCACGCTCGTAATCCTAAGCACGCGTAAATCAAAAAGTGTTTCTAATTAAAATAGGAAGGAAATGTGGCGACTTACTTGATTGGAGTCTCTAAAAGTGTAATCATGGGTGGATTTTCTGGGATGATTGTATGGCTTTTGATCAATGTGTTTAATGTCTTCAGCCATTCTGGCTCTTTGGGCTAAGGCTCGGGCCTGCACGCTCACCAGTGCTTGCATGCACCTAAGGGTAGCTGTGGCCTGTTTTCTTACCAGGTGACCTCGTACCAGTGCCTGAAGCTTCACTAGTCCTTTCAGTGCGTACAAAGCTTTTCTTGCCTGAAATTAGATTTTCCATAAAATGAGCTACCACTAAACATCATAAACATACTCTTAAAAAGGAAAAAAAAAAAAATCTTTCAAAATAGTCATACAATAAATTATTAACCAAACAATTATTAATGGCTGAATTTGTGGAAATGCTACAGTCGTCCCGTTACAAACCATTCCGTCGGGATTGTAGTCGTTAGATCATCATGTAACGAGTTAGATCATCATGTAACCGTCATGAATAGTTAATCTAACGGTTACAAACTCCGACATAATGATCCCGTAACGGACCGTAGAATCTCCCATTTGGGGCATCTGAAAATAATGCATCAATCTTAAAGGGATTTTCCCGAAGGAAAAGAAAACGCGTACCAAATAGGACCGGAAAACGGACTGGATCTTCACAGCCGCGGCTTCCTCCGCAGCCCCATCCCTGCCGCACTCTGCCGCCAGCTGAATCACTGCCGCGGCCGCCTTCGCAGCTGCCGCCGCCGCGTCCGCGGCCGCCGCGGTGGCCACAGCCACCGCCAGAGCGTGCTTTCTCGAGCCGCTCTCCGTCCCGTGGTCGCTTCCGGGGGCGCCGTCCGCCGGGATCATCTCCGGGCGGCCCGTCGCGGCGGCTGACGACCGGCGAAAGCTCCAGCGCCGCTTCTCCTTGGGCGTGGTCGGCTGCGCCGACGAGATGGGGGTCGTCGGACGGTGGTCGTAGCCATTACTTGCATCTGAACTCTGGTTTTCTTTCTCCTTTTCCTTTTCCTTAATGTCTTTTTTTCCGGTGAGGAAGTTTCTCAACCACCGGCCGGTTTTCCCCATTGTAAAATTGCACTATCAATTATCTCAAAATGTTAACAAACAAATGAGATGAAATTGAACCAAAAAATGGGAAGATAAAAGAAGAAAGAGCTTTTTATTTGAGATATGATATCAGTAGCTTTCAGAAATAGTAGTAAATGAGTGCCATTATTTTTTGTGTACTTTGTACAAATCTGTACAGAATATTAATGTGATGAGCAGAAGAAGAAAGAAGAAGAAGAGGAAGCAGCCTCGATTGGACAAATTACAAAGTCATGTGCATCTCGAGTTTTGTTTACTTATTCTGATGATTGTATTAGTATTTAAATAGTTTAATGTAATTGTGGCATTTGAGATAAGATATGGAAGGATATTGTTTTGACATGTTTTCAAATTGCAATTTAATCACGAACTTTTTATTTTTGTAAATAATATCACAATCTTCAGTTTGTTGCAAATTGGGTGCAGTATATCACAATCTTCAGTTTGTTGTTCGACCACATCAACTTTTCTATAACTGTTTTCAGACTTTTTGCAACAAACTAAATACTGTGATATCATTTACAAAAATGAAGAGATCATGATTAAATTACAACTTCGATAAAGATCGTGATATTAAGGGCAATTTTACCTATTATTTTTAATTAAAAAAATGTAAATTTAACAACTAAAAGCAAAATTATCATATGATTATATGACGGCAAAATTGCTCATAATATCGCGACCTTTATCAATATTGTCATTTAATCATGACATCTTCACTTTTGCAAATTATATCACAATCTTTAGTATGTTGCAAGTTGGTGTACGGATTCTGAAAACAGTCATAGACAAGATGATGTGGTCGAATAACAAACTGAACATTGTGATATAAGTTGCACGAATTATGCAAACCGGTGCACCGATTTGCAACAATCAAGATTGTTATTTTATTAAGTGCACAATTTACTTTACATTAAGATAAAAGAGTACTACCATTAAAAGCCAAGAAAAGGTAAATGGCATTGATTCTTTACCTGCTGGAAGAGTTAAAAGTAGACGAAAATGTGGCAAGCTTGTGCACGAAAATGGGCACTTTTATGGGAATCAATAAAAGGGAAGAAGATGATTAAATTATTCAAGTTAAAAAAAAAAAAAAAA